CCTAAACCCTAAACCCATGAGGGCCTGGAGGTCCGGGTTGTGGCTGCTCGGTTTGGGGGTCTAGGGGGATTGGGGTTTAGGGATTTGAGGGCGTAGGGATTTGAGGGATTTAGGGTTTAGGGATTTAGGGTTTAGGGTTTAGGGATTTAGGGTTTAAAGATTTAGGGTTTAGGGTTTAGGGTGAGCGTAGGATGCTCAAACCTACGGAGGATCCATCGGCCCCTCTACCGCAGCAGAACAGGGACCGTATTGCTTACTTGGAGCAGGGTTTGGGGGGTATACTGTAGTATCACTACCGTATTATCTTGTCGTATTGTTACTGAATGACTGAAGTAGTATGTATTAGTATACTAGCGCTTCAGTGTTTCTATAGTATCACTCAAGTTTATGTAGGGGCCTTAATAATTGGAACAGGGCCTCGGGGTTCGTTACTATAATTCTGGTATAATTTTCCCGAACCCTACCCTAATTATTAAAGCCCCTATACCCTAAACCCTATTAGTAGCCCTTATAGAACCCTTTAAGGAACCCTTCAAAGGAACCCCAAACCCTGTTCTAATTGTCAAGGACCCTAAACCCTAAACCCTAAACCCTAAACCCTAAAAACTAAAACCCTAAACCCTAAACCGCCTATATTCGTAGTCCTCAGTCTTGAGGCTGCTGGAATCATCAGCCATGATTGATTGACTGATGTGCAAAGAAGTCCCTGCAGCTCCAGACAAACAAGCTGCACGGGCGCGAGAAAATCCCAGTTCAGGGCAATACCCTAAACGCTCATGCGATCCATGAAGCTACGCAGCGGCTCCTGGCCTAAACGAGCCAGGTTCGGGTCGTGTAGGGTTGAGGGTGAAGGGGTTTAGGGTTGAGAGTTCACGGGTTTGGGGTTTAGGGTTTAGGGTGTAGGGTTTAGGGTTCAGGGCCCCTAACTAGAATCGAATGACCCTGGATGCCAATGAACTCCCCGAACCATTGATAATGGTGGTTTGAGGTCTATATCGCAACAACAGTAACTTGGCTGAGTTCCGAACCCCTCCTGAAAGTTAAGCTTTTAGCCTCCTTATTCTATTTCATATAGAAACACCCAAAAAGTTAAAGTCCGAAGAGCCAACCAAACGAGTGCCAAGATAAAGTATGCACTCCACAGCAACCTGTCACTTGTGAGCCGTAGGACCCCCAAGCCCTCGACCCTAAACGCTTCAAAACAGGGCTGAGGACTTGAAGATGCCTTAATGGTTTAGGAGTTAGGGTTTAGGGTTTAAGTAATCGGCAAGAAAAGAGCATGTAGCGCAAAGGTTTATGGTTTGCAGCACTACACACTGAATCATACACCACACACTGGAACCCAAAAGCCTAAGCGGAACCCTAAAACCCTTTAAAACCCACAAACACTCACTAAACCCTTTGAGCCCTTAACCTCAAACCCATGTGGGTAGTTCTCTAAATTAGGGTCCGTTTTAAGTCCCCAATAATTATAGTACGGCACCCTTATAAAAAGGGCCCTAAAACGGACCCCATTTTAGAGAATTACTCATGTATATAAACCCCGCAATCAATTTTGGCCGTGCATAGCCCCGGCCTCGCAATGTTCACCGCGGCGCATGGACAAGAGCGCCTGGCAGAGGTTTCGGGTCTAGGGTTTAACGGTTTAGGGTTTAGGGTTTAGGATTTAGGGTTTAGCTTAAGGCTCAAAATAGCCCGAAAGCCTCATTTAGTAGGGTCTTTGGGCCCAAGCGCCTTATCATATGAGTCCTTAGAGCCTTTGGGTTAGGGTTTAGGGTATGCCGGGTATGCATGACAACAAACTTGAGATAAGGCCTAGATCACTTGAGATAAGGCCTAGATCGGGCTCGGAGGGCTCTTGTAGGGCTAGTTAAGGGTTAGGGTTTAGGGCTTTAGGAAGGGAGATTCTAACTAAAAGTATAAGGGGGGTTGCGTGCCTCTGAAACTTACGGCCTGGGATTTAGGCCCGTTTCGTCGAAGGAAGAAGCAAGATTGACGACCCCGGGAGAACATGAAAGGCTTCATGTGTGTGCCAACAACTTTTCATTATGCTAGATAAGCCCAAACCCTAAAACATTAATTCAAGAAGCCCTAAACCCTTCAAGGAACCCAATTTAAACCCGAAACCCTAAACCTACACGCTGTTTCACACAAAGCCCTATCAAACTCTGGAAAAACACATCAACCCGAACACCCACCCCAAGCCCCAACCCTGCTGCTCGGGACCGTGACACCTGAAACCATCAACAATCTAGGCCCTAAGCCCTAAACCCTAAACCCGAAAACCCTAGACCCTAAACCCCAACGACCCTAAACCCTAAAACCCTAAGGACCCTAGACCCTAAACCCTAAACCCTAAAGCCCTAAACCCCAAAGCCCAAAGCCACACGCGCACCGTGGCTAGCAACCTGAAAAGTGTGTGATCGAGCCTCGAGGCTGAGTGAGCTCAGCGGTTTAGGGTCGTTTCGGTTTAGGGTCGTTTGGGTTTAGGGTTTAGGGTCGTTTCGGTTTAGGGTTAGGGTCGTTTGGGTTTAGGGTCGTTTGGGTTTAGGGTTTAGGGTCCTTAGGGATTTAGGGTTTAGGGTCGTTTGGGTTTAGGGTCGTTTGGGTTTTGGGTTTAGGGTCGTGTGGGTTTTAGGGCTTTAGGCTTGAGGGTGGTTAACGGCTCGAATGTTTCGGGTTGTGTGGGATGTGGGGTTGGCAGTTGGGGGTAATTCCCTCGCGTGGTGGGGATCGATGCACCGATGAAGTTAATTAGGGGTTTAGGGTTCAGGGTTTAGGGTCTAATGTACAAAAGCCGAAACCCTGACCGAGCGCAGCCTGACTAGAGCTGCATCTGCTGCCAGTCGGGTTTAGAGGTTTAGGTGTTTATTAAGATCTAGGGTTTGAGTTTGGGATTAGGGTTGAGGTTTCAGGGGATAGTGGATATAGGGTATGGGAGAAATGGCTGAAACCATTGTCCACAAGTTTCACGACGGCGACGAGTCGGCTATAGATCCCCGGTCCAGCTGGGCACATGTTTCTGGCTTCTTGTAAGTCGCATCAGGCGTAGCCGGCTTTGCCATTGCCAAGGGTACCCTAAACTCTAAACCCCAAACTCCACAAGCTCTCAACCCAATAAGCCCCAAGCCCTGCACCCTATAAGCCCTAAGCTCTAAACCTCTGAAGAGCGGAATTTGGGTTGTATTGCGGCCACACGACGATTACAACCACCCTGAACCTCCAGGCAGGGCCCAGGACCCTTATAAAGCCACTACAAGCCAATTTGGCAGTTTGTCAAACACCATTCAGCTTGTCAAAAAGCCTTTAGAAAAAAGCCCTCATAGAGGCCGCGCAGATCCCCTGAACAAATT